AATTAATTATAAATAATTTTATTAATTTTATATTCAAAAATAATTTTTTCATAATTTCATATATAATTTTTTATATTTAATTATAATAAATTTATATATATATAGTTTACTATAACTAATTTTAAATTTAAATTTTTTTATAAAATACAATTATTTTTTTAAAAAAAAAATAATGTAATATATTTATAAGTTCCAAGTAATTTTATTTCATAAATATTCAAGAACATATATTTAAAAATTTATTTAATTTTAGTTAGTATTTATAATGTTATAAACAATTTTTATATTCTGGTTTTCAACATTTCATACTGTATGTAAATATAAAATTTAAAAGAATTCTTTTTTTTTTTTTGATTCTCTGACCATACTCAACCTATTAAAATCTATTAATAAACCTAATTAATTATTAATTAAAAATCCATATCAATTGATTTGTGTATAATATACTTTTTATAGGATTTTGTAGAAATTTGATGTTTAAACGGTTTGAATTGATTTTATTTTTTTCTTTTTTTCACTATCAATTCGTCGAAAAATATACAGTATATCGACAAATAAAATAATTATTTATCCTTTAAAAAAATATTTTTTCCTGTCTATTATTTTGTATTTTGTATTTTTCTTTATTTTTTTATTTATTTTTTTTTTTGTGAAAATTTTCAATATTATTTTGTTTACAATCTAAATTGTTAAAAATCGAGATCTCGCAATAAATAAATAGACGATAAAGGTAAGATACTCGAGATTATATTACTTGTCAGACGGAAGTGAATGGTCGAGTCATTATTTCGAGCTTCGGTGCTTGTTGTTTGAATGCCTTGACGAATCGACTTTTGCACAAACTTGAGCCCACGTAGATTTATAAAATCTACGCCTTTTAAGCTATTGCAGGATTTTGGATACCTCACTACTTTTTGAATATACAGTATTCTCGGAAAGACCGTAGGAAAATAAATTCCGATCGTGTAAGAAGTTTTCATTGTTATTACCAATTTGATGCTCAGGGGGTTTACTGAATATAGATATCAGGAGTCTACAAAAATGGGTAGAATCGCAAAAGTGAAAAAATTTAAGTCGTAATTTAATTAAAAATTACACTTACGTTATGCGCCCAGCAATTTTAACATCAAATAATCTTGATAATTTATGGAAGAGAGTCATAGTGACTTCAAGACTTGGCATTGTAACTGTGGCTTTGCTTTCAAAATTAGAGCATGGTGTTTAAAGTTGCAATAGGGGCACTAAATTTCAAAATAAATCGCGCTCACAACTTTCAAAGCATGGAGTTAACATATCCACGAGAAAATTATACAAATTATAGCAATAAAGTCTATTTCACATATCTTTCTAATAATACACAATTCCAGCTGGGGTTATTGGGCTTGCAACCTTCAAAAATTGCCGGAGTATTCCATCTTCGCTATTCCCAAGATCGTCCTTTAAAAGCAAGACAAATTGTATTATATTTTAAAGGAAAAACTCATGTTAAATTTGAAGAAGGAAACGAACAGCATAAGTTGAAGCAACAATTTCTTAATCAATCAAAAATAGTATGGTCTTCTCAAAGCGAAGGAATTTTTGAGGATTTGACCACATTAGATATACCGTTCGAATTTAACATTCCAAACAATTCACCATCAACCGTCACCTCAATGGAAAAATCAGACATCGGCCTAATCACATATACCCTGCAAGCGAAAATTTTCAGAGTTTCCAATCTATTACTCTTGAATCACGCAAAAATAGTGAAATGTCGGTTGGATGTTAAAAGATGGGTCGCGCTTCCTTCCCCTGATTATTATGCAACGCCATTTTCCTATGAATTCCCGAAGTTCAAATGTCAACTATTGCTGGATCAATCCGTCTTTGGGATTAATAGTGTAATCCTACTGCCCGTGAAATTCATTTTATTTGATATGAGAGTATGTGTAGAAAAGATTACGGTGAGGATAAAAGAATATCATCTGTTAAAGATGGCCATGGAGTTGGACAATCCGAAAAGTAAAGTTGTTAAAAAATCTGTGCTCGAAATTGTGATAGGAGGAGATAAAGTATTGCCAGTTAATAATAGTAACAATGAGTTCATGGTAAACATCGAGTTCAATTTAAGAGAAGCACATGGAAAGATACAATGTAATTGTGAGACTCCTTTAATCAACATTTGGCATATGCTAAAGATCAAAATAAATATGAAAAATGCCGATGTCGGACATTTATATATGGAGAAGGAGGTAAAGGTTTACAATATTCTACAGAATGATCTCCTGATTGGGTCGTCAGAGGATTGAGGAAAAGGTGATGTGAATCTCCGTTTATCAAATCGAAAGAATTTTTTCACCTTTAATTTTTTTTTTCATTATAATCTTCTCGAGTTATATGCAACACAGAAAAAAAATAAAATAAAGGATTTACTGTAACTGTAAATTGCCTTTTGAACAAAGGCGGACGTTCCATTTAGGCGTAAACTCGAATTACGCAATCGATATTTTGTCGGCAGATTATAGAAAAAACAGTGCTGTAAAGTGTTTAGAGATACACTGACTCAAAAAATTGTCCCAATAATTAAAACTTTTTTGTTTATAGCGTATATCTTTTGAGCGACTGATTTA